AAATAGGAAAGAGAACGCGTTTTCTTTGTTTTGGAAAATCGAAAACAGAAAACGACTCAAAACGGCCAAAGAGAACGGCCCCTAACTCATTATCAAAGTATCTCAATTCTTTTATAAATTTAATAATAGTTTATACGTAAACTCATCGTGTAGAAAAATCTCCACTATGAATCCTTTAAAAGCATAATCGAAAAATCCCCACTATAAATTTGATAATTTAACATATAAGAACGAATAAAATAGAGGTTTTTGCTATGTGTAAACAATAAAAATTGTGAATCCCCCTCCATGTGAGGTTCACACACAGTAAAATATTTGTGAATCCCCCTCCATGTGAGAGTGGTGTAAAAAATTGTGTACACCAAAAGGTATACACATAGCATTATCCTAAAATAGATATAATGGATCTTGAGTTAACAGTCAAATTGTAACGATTATCGATGTAATTGTTAATTGGCATATTGACATGTTTATTAGTCACTATGCTACGTCAGAAAAATGCTACATAATGTCATTTGATTAGGCGTGTGTTTAATTTTACATTTTTCTGACGTGACATAATGTTTGACATGTGTTGTAACTATTATAGGGAATATCTTACACGATTTGACTAATGCCTAAGTAGTATTTATCTGTTTTAGAGACAATATGAGATAAATATTGAAATATGAAACTAAGTTGAAATTTAATACAAGTCAGTGAGATAAATCAAATTTTAATGACATAAGATTATTTACTCTCAAAATACTAAGGGTCCGTTTGACTGCAAGGGTGAAAAATGGGTGGAAAGAAAATGAATTTTAGGGAAAATAATTACCTAGAAAATGTTTTGCGGGAATTGTTAATTAGTTGCGTTTGATTGGTATAATTTTCCACCTAGAAAATGTTGAGATTTTTCATCTTTTGGTGTTTGATCGACTTTATTTTCCATGTAAAATTATAATTATTTGTGCGAAACTATCGAACTTAACAAAAATGTTCCGACAACATCCGTTCATCCTCCAGCATCAACGCCGCCTGCGCATCCCAACCTCCTCCTACTCCAACAACTTCTCCACCACCTGCAAGCCCAACTCCCCCAGCCAACTCTCCTCCACCAGCTTCAACCCCACCACCGTCACCCAGCCTCCTTCACGGATCTTCAA